AGAGCAAAATAAGAAAGAGAAGAATGACATTGAATTTTTTTTTTGGATGATAAAAATTGAAAATTAAAGATATGCAAACTTGATTTAGGATTTGATGCTCTGATACCAAAATGATGAGAATCCCAAAGAGAACAATGAGACCCACAACATGATAAGGGATTTCTAAACTCCAGGAAAGCTAAATCAGGTTTATAATAGGATCTTGATCTGTTGTTTATGTGACAATAATAACCAAAGGTAAACCATTGGAAGATTAAATAATCTCCCACTGGAACAAAATTTCTTAATATTCCAATAAAAAATCTTAAGTGGCAAAAATCATTAGTCCTAATAAACATATTCTTAATATTTATATTAATCATAAAACATTATTAGGACTATCATCTATATATATGGTTTTATAATTCCTCTGAACCATATCTTTTATAATATGTTTTTAAATGGTAATTCGTTAATATATGATTTGAGAGAATCTTAAAACTTTTGAAAAGATTTTCAATACTAAATGATTCCATTTACTCTAATACTCAAAGAGAATTATATAAAATCCCATTAGTATCTTAAATAAACCAAGATACACAAATTCTAAAATTCTTAGAATTTTATCAAATATCTTTTTTTTGAGATTTTAAAATGTTTATGTATTGCCACAATTAGGCTATTAACAATATGCATAATAGACACATATAATTATTCCTTGAAGGTAATTAATTACTAACAAAATCTATTATAAAACCAATTATTTAGCCTTAAATTATATGTTATGAGATATACTCAAACTTTAATTCTACAAAACTTTTTTATAGAATTCATATGCTAGAACCCACGTATGAAAACCAATAACTTTATCTTAAATAAAATATCAATATGAGTAAAATCATACTCAATTACCTTGCATGGTTATACCTTTGTAATTTGCATTGACACAACTTAATGAATTTTTGAGATATACTCAAACTTTAAATTATATGTTATGAGATATACTCAAACTTTAATTCCACAAAACTTTTTTATAGAATTCATATGCTAGAACCTACGTATGAAAACAAATAACTTTATCTTAAATAAAATATCAATATGAGTAAAATCATACTCAATTACCTTACATGGTTGTACCTTTGTAATTTGCTTTGACACAACTTAATGAATTTTTGAAACTATAATTCTCAACAATTTTTGGTGCACCTTTAATACATATTCTTTGAAAATTTTCTTAGCTTCCATAAAATTAGTAGAAAATAACAATTATACTTTCTTCAAATGCATAATTAATTTACATAAATAGTTTATTAGCAACTGTAAATATGTTCTTTACATCCAAATTCTTTACATCCAAATATGAACACTTTATTTCCTTATTAGAAAATATAGTGCTAGGAAACCCATATGCTAAACCACATATGAAGGTAAGTAATCTTTCATGAAAACTAAAGTTTTACAATTATTTACTCATTTATCTATGACCATAAATTTCTTTATTAATAATCAAACTTAAAAACTTTGCAAATGAGTAGTGCAACCAATTTCAAGGAACTTTAATCCAAGTATATTACATTATATAAATAATGGGTATATAAAGTCACGTACCTTCAATTGTGACTAATTGCTTTAACAAAATCTTGAAATTTAATCTCCAAGAAGCATATATCATATGCATAATAATATTCACAAAATTATTTTAAACCAAAACGTGAAAAACATATCTTATTAATAATTCATTTGCCACTAACTATATATCTTAACCTCCAAATATTAACACATATTTTATGTGTTACACTTAATGTTTATTTTAATTTAGATGAAATGAATTAATATATATTCATTATGTAAATAATTATCTTGATTTATAAAATCAAACCACATAATAAATATATACATATAATCTAAAATAAGATTATATTAATAGATGTTCTTCACATAAAATCTGATATACTGTGTATAAATATCAATACACAATGTCAAAAGGTTTAAAACCATCTAATGCTTAATTGCTGAA